GCATCGGCCATGAATCCAATAATCAAGCCATGGTCGTTTCGAGGTTAGGGAATTGATTTAATTGACCAGATTTTTCCGCCCTCAAGCAAATGACATAAGTTCATATTGGTAGCCACAGATTACTTCACTAAATGGGTTGATGCAATTCCTTTGAAAACGGTAACCTCAAAGAACATGGTTGATTTTGTCAAGGAGCACATTGTGTATCATTTTGGGATTCCTCAAACTATAACTACCGATCAAGGGACAATGTTCACATCAGAAGAGTTTGGAGATTTTGCTGCCAGTATGGGAATCAAGCTACTAAATTCTTCTCCTTACTATGCTCAGGCTAATGGCTAGGCGGAAGCGTGCAATCAGATTATGATTAAGTTGATTAAGAAGAAGATTGAGGAGCAGCCAAGAAAGTGGCATTCAACGCTTAATAAGGCACTATGGGCATATAGGATGGCCTATCATGGATCAATTAAAACGTCACCTTATGAACTTGTGTATGACCATAATGCAGTCCTTCCTTAGGAAGTTCAGACTAGATCGAGGCATGTTATGTTGTAGAATGATTTGTCAGCCAAAGTCTATAAGAATCTTATGATAGACGACTTAGATGACTTGAGTTGCCTTTGGCTGCGTGCTCTTGAAAATATTGAAGCCAATAAACTGAGGGTTGCAAAATATTACAATAAAAGAGTCAAGAATAAGCAATTTTTTGAAGGAGACTGGGTCTGGAAAGTAAAATTGCTAATTGGGTCAAAGGACAGCAAGTTTGATAAATGGTCACCTAATTGGGAAGGACCTTATCAGATCAAACATTGTGCGCCTGGTAATGCTTATATTTTGGAAACACTAAAAGGAGAGGAAGAATTTGGTAGAGCAATCAATGGAAAATATCTAAAGAAATATTACCCTAGCGTTTGGATCAATGCCTGACAATCAATTTGTTCGGTCGTTGGCTCTTATAGCCGATACCAGAAGGGTATCGCCTCTAGTACAAAAAATAAATCCGAAGGGGTAGAAGCCAGTACGATATGTATCACCTATAAGAACAAAGCAAACACGGATGAATTGATGACACTTAAGACAAAGAGATTGCTTGCTAAGTGTCACCTATTATAAGCTATGGGCCAGAAAACACTTTGCTTACTATATCATCGGCCTAGGTGTTGAAAGCTACAGAGTTGGCAGTGTTGAAGAAATCATCGACTAGGCGCTCATGATCCTCAGGGCGTTCGGTGGCTGGAAAACCATAGGGAAGAAGTCGAAGGTTGTGGCCAGAGCGGGCTTGTGCAGCAGCCAATGCCATGGCAGCACCATGACGAATGCCATGAAGGGCGACCTTCCTGACATGGTTTGGTATGTCATGCAAGCGAACCACCAGAACAGCGCCCCTGGCATTGACAAATCCCACCACGTGCTTCACAGCTGATTGAAGGCTTTCCAACTGAGCAGTTAGATCTAAAAGATTTAAGGAAGGAATGATCAGAAATCTTGAAGGCAAAATTAAGAAGAGACAGAAAATTGTGGTAGACGTCTCATCTATGATTCTGGCTTTAGCGCTGGCCAACCTTTCCCCCACCGGGTTGGCCTAGGGGGTGATCGGCCTGGAATCATGGCCAGAGTCGATTCTACAAGGGAGAGGTAGTTGGCTAGATTCTGATCAGTCCGATCGATGGAGGCCAGCAAATCGTCATTGTCGATCTGCCTCCTCAGATAGCGGGGGAGCTGGCGGCGAATTGGTGCTGAAGATGACCCCAAAGGCTGAGCAGAGTCGGCCCTCTGCTCCGGAACGATGGGAGCATCCCGAGTTGCACCCTCTTGGCGATGAAGGCATTGGCATGATGATGCAGATCCTTTGAGGGCCTCCTCAGCAGACCTCTTGCTGTTCTCCATGATCTCAAACCTATGGAAAAGCAAGAACTACACTAAAGACGCAAGAGATTTGAGACGAAGCGTGTTGTTTTTTGATTCACAACCGTGGCCCGTATATATAGCCCGGGAAGGTGAGAAGATAGATTTTTGCCGGGGGTATGGAATTGAAGTCAGATACGGAAATAGATCGACACTCTGAAAATTCAGGGGACGGATAACGAAGAAATAACAGATTCAGACTTATTGCTTCACATAATCACAAAATATCATGGGATGGATATGAAAGGTTTACATTGACCAACAATCAACCCACCAAGGCTTCTTTGGATTGAAGGGAGTCTGGGTCTCCACAAGGCCAAAGGTCATTGTGACCCAAGTCACATCAGCCCATTGATAGAATTATGCCAGGAGAAGGGGAAAGGCCGCCCGCCTAATAGATGCCCAGCTGATTTCTTGGTGACTGGGAAACTATGAGAAAAAAGCCTGTGGCTTTCTCGATGGGCGTTTGATGGAACAAATAAGGGGAAAATATCCACACATTTTAGCCCTTGCAAACACTAGAACAGCTCTACGAGCATGGAGAGAAGACTCAGGTGATATCACAAGAATTCTTCTAACCGTAGAAGCTGATCCTCTTGCTTCGACAAGGCGCTAAAATGAGCAACACAATCACCCTATTCACAAGAATTCTTCTAACCACTCAAGATCTTCATGGCAAAAAGATAGACCATGGAGGGTCAGGCAGAGTCAGAGGCACTCAAGGAAGCAGATAGAAGAGAAATATAGCTGAATTGTTGAATTACTCTTGCTAGAGTCGGATAGGCATTTTATAGTCAACCTGGAAAGATGGATCCAAGCGCCCGTGAAGCAATGATGCTCTCGTAAAAGTTTTGAAGTATGGGCTCATGAGCTGACATAGATGGTGACAAACAGTAGACCCCAGATCAAGATTTTCTACCCGTGACTGTGGACCTATCGGGGATACAGACATGATAATTTTGGAATAAAATTACTTTTATCCCAAAATTGGGGGCATGTGTTTAGACCAAAATTTGGAAGAAGAATTGCAGGGACTCGAAAGCTCCTAAGATCATGTCATCAAGGAATCAATTGCATGAAGGTTGGTATCAGTTGCTTCGAATTCAGCACTGGAATCAGCTTTCTTCAGATAGCGCCAGCAGATAATGATAAAAGCTACGATCGGCGCCGGGAAAATCATGCTGGACTCTACAAAAAGGGAAAGATTAGGGTCCAAGTTATCTTAAATTAGCAATGTTTTCTCTTAGGCCAAAAATTGTAATGAGTCGTGCTTAAGTAGGATTCATGCGTAGGTTCCGGGTATAAATATTGGACTCCGGCTATTGTAAAGGACACACAATCAATCCAATACAAGTTACTTACTTTTTCCGGCTCCGGCTACCCCTTAGGAGTAGGAGTAGAGTAGATCTCGGCGAGTTCTTCAGCGAGTAGGGCTACATCGGTTCGGCCGACCTCTGGCTTGTCTGTAAGTACCGTCACGGCTTATACTTCTGTTTGTACGGATGCATCGATCCGGTCGACCTCTACCGCGACTCTGGTATAAGCTAGTTATCGACTCTTGTTTAGTTCAAGTATGGCTGCATCGATCCGGTCGACCTCCACTGCTCGAACTAGATTAAGGTCAAGTTATTGGCTCTATCTAAGGGTGGCGTCCTTTGGATAGATTCATTAAGTTATCGATATTGCTTATTGCTTTCACTATTTATTCAATTACAGCAATATCACTTCGCCCGATTGGGATTGATCTAGATTGGTCTTATATCCTGTTTAACCCATCATTTGTTAATCTAAACTAATCTAATCTGTAACTTAAACGACGAGTTATGTTTCATCGGCTGTGTTATGTCAATCTTGATTGTGCATAGTGTATAGTTAAGGCATACCGGGTCTTGAATAGATCTATCGGCTAACGAAAACCATTCCATGACCCGTTATCACAGCATGTGTGATTCTGCCCCACACCCCACTGTTAGCACCGTGGAGCGGGGACTGGTATTTGGTAGATCTGTTCCTGATAGGGCATGACCTTAATTGTGCGCTATGCCTGAATCGGCTGTTTTAGTCGATATCGAGTGCTTTCACATATACAGTTCACGCCACGAGACCGTTGAAGCAAGGGTAGGTTGAAAGATATGTTAGCCCCATGATCTTATTATTGTATTACGGCCTGCATGATTCTGCCTCATGCCCCACTGATATTAGTAATAAGTTAGGGTCGTCAAATCTATTACTGTTTCTACGTCCTGCATGATTCTGCCTCATGTCCCACTGGTCATAGCGATAGATGAGATCTAATATGTTCATTAGATTTATATCCATTAAATGGTTAGATGATGATGAGTTGTTTCCGAATCTTTTATATAAAAAGGGATTCGGTTACTTGCGGTCATTGACTTAGCATAAACTGATTAGTGTTGACATTCTTTTGCCATTGACTAATATTTGTCTAAATAACGATATTCATCCTGAATAATAACCGATTTTTCTTCCATAATTCAATGAGCTTTAACTGATTTATTCTTATGAGTATGCTGGAATCGGCTATTTAGTCGATCTCCTTCCACATCGGCTCTCAGAGCCACATATTCGGAATTGTCTAGCAACACCGGCATGTTTCGTCTTAAATTACTGATTAGCTTTCTCTCCTTGTCAATTGTAGGGTCAAATTGACTGGCACGTCTCGGGAGAAGTACGCACGATCGATCATCACTGCGTTGAAGCCAGGCGGATCTCCAGCTCCATCGAACAGACCATTCCGGCTTGCTCGTGTGCCTCGGCACGATTGACACGTTTTCGTGCCGACATCTTTCAAAAACAGTTTGTTAATTTCTGATGAGGGGCACATGTATGTTTCATGAATCGATCTACCAAACACAGAGTAACTAAGGTAGTGTTCTGATGAGGGGCACTATCAGTACCTATGTTTTTTTTAATTAAATTCCATATATGTCTGTCCAAGATATTCTCTCACAAGACTTGTTTTCTCGATTCCGATTTGACAGTGTAGTGTGGGGCACCTGATCTGCAATTCATGCTGCATCAGGCTCAACAAATGCCCCCTATGCCCAAGGTCTGCCTTCGAGCGCTGTTTTGGCATGGAGCGCGTTGTTGAATCCATTGAGGTTCCTTGTTGCTTCGCCGAGAACGGATGCACCCAGAAGATCGCCTACTTCAACAAAAAAAAGTACAAGAAGGCGTGCCGACACGGGCCATGCTTCTGCCCGGAGCCCGGCTGTGGCTTCTCAGGGCCGGCGGCAACGCTGCCAGACCATTTCACCGACTGCCACAAGTGGCCAAATACGGCGTTCAAGTACTTCGCGCAGTTCGGCCTCCGCCTCCAGCCGGGCCCGCACGTCCTCCGTGCCCAGGACGGCACCGTCTTCCTCATGAACGTGGTGGCAGCGGAACCCCTCGGGCACGCCATCTCCCTCGTCTGCGTCCGGCCGGAGGCCACGGACTCCCCGTTCGGCTGCTCTGTGGTGTTCTCGTGTTTCACAGGCCACCATCAGATCTCGACGCTGGCCGTCGTGAGGTGCTCGTCGCTAGTTGATGGTCTGCCAAAGGACGGCTTCTGCGTCGTGCCCAAGGCATCTGGGGGTACCCATGTCGTGCTCCAGACCACCATAGATACCGAGCTGGTGTACGATGTCGAGGACTAGCTGGAGGACGAGGACGACGAAGACGAGAGCTACGACGAGGACGACGAAGAAGATGATGATTCTGATGACGATCAAGAAGAAGATGATTCTGATGACGATCGAGAAGAAGAAGATTCTGATGGCCTGCCGTATGTGAAGCTCTAATTTAAGTATTTAGATTGGATTCTTCGTACGGGCACGTCGATATCTAAACAACCATGGTAATTTACTTTATGATCAGCACTGTACCACTGTACTTTTATGTGGAGGAAGACATGCTTGCCGGCCGGGCAATTTGGCTCTCATCCGGTCATCATCCCGGTGTTGTGATGCCCAATCTTTGTGCATCTTTTGGTTTACACATGGATTCGCGAGGCAGTTGTGGCTCCATCCGTACGCCCAGATAAAATAGATACCGTGGATTCAACAGATAGCACGTCCACGTTGACAGTAACATGTTGGATGAAGGGGAATGATCGTCACATCATCCACTACTCCTAGGCGACATAACTGTAATCTGAAACTCTCAATAATCTGAACTCTCATAGGACAAGCCCTGGCCGAGGAGCTGGTCGACCGGCAGCTCCGCATCCGGGGTGGATAGGTCATCTTCGAACCGGCACCCCTCGTCGATCCCTAAATCCTAATCCATGCCGTGCCGAACTTGCTGAAACGTTTTGAACATATAGCAAGCATAAAGTCAAGAAGGCGTAGGTTCAGTCCTTGATTCCAACATTTTTGAAAGCAAAGCACAAAGCCAAGCAGGACGTTGACTCTCGGTAATTTTGAGCACAAATTTGGGTAAGCAGCCTTCAATTAAACTACGAGAAATTCACCTATAAAAAGGGATTAATCTCCCATTTCCACCCACTTCAAATAAAAAACTTTGAGGGAGACACCCAATTCTCTCTACCCTAGCTTGTGTTACCTTAAGCACTTAGCTAAGCTTACCAAAATGAATTAGGGTTAGCAAGATGTTCTCGTCTCCCAACCAACCACATCCATATCTATAGGTCCATGGCGAAAGGTGAATATGCCTAACACCTAATACTAGATATATACCTCTAGGGGCAAAACACTCTATTTTTTCTTCATTCATTGGACATCTCGGTGTCTTCACGACTTCGCTTAGTCTCCATGTAAGCTTCGTGATGCTACAACATTTCCTCCAATTCGTTGCCCTCGATTTTGAGGATGAAACTGGGAACCCTTTGTGCACATGGTTTTGAGGCCAAAATCGCCGGTTCTTTCGAAGTCAGGTAGCCCGTACGTGACCTCCATAATGTCGATGCATGTCTCGCTTGTCCTTAGGGCTTGTTCGGCTGGCTTAAAGCCAGCCGGCTGGCTTGTTTTTTCTCTCACAGAATTACTGTTCACGTCCTGCCAGAACAGTATTTCTCTCTCACAACAATCAGCCGGAACAGTATTTTTTAGTCCTGCCGAACAGGCCCTTAGCTTGGTCGATCACTAAGTACTCGTGCACCTACCTTGACTTGGTCAAATCCGTCTCTTTCTCGCATGTACTCTTGCTTATCGCGGTGCACAAATGCTAGTTGTACATGGACATCCTCCTATCTTTGGTCCTTGGTTCAAGCCTCTGTATTAGCCCTTCACCACCCATGGTCCATCGACTTGAACTCTTGATTGACCTTTGTCATTGCTCAATGCATACAAATCACAAGCCAAGAGACATAGCACTCACACCACTGATTAGCACACTAGCCAAAACATAATTCTATCGACAATCACTCATCGTCAACATTTCACAACTCATCTTATCATCTAGTCATCATCATTATGACAACTCATCTTATTCATGGGATCTACTTAATTCTCTTCCCAAAGTCAAATTAAATAGAGTCGATCTCGATGTTAGATGTTCTAAAGTCTGAAAAAACTCATTTTTAGATCCTTGTGATAAGACAGATCATGGATTATGCGGGTTAGTCAATGTACATGTGGTGTATGTGAAGACATAAAAAAAAGTTGCAGGTGTTAGCCTATACGAAATTAAGATTCAAATGAGCATACGAACCCCATAGGTTGCATTTTTATATGTAAAAAAAATCGTAGGTCAAAAGCCCATTTCCCACACGTCAATACAAGTGTTGGACCGGTTTGCTTTTGCAATAATCATATGGGGACAACAGTAGGCGTTGCATTGACCCATTTTTTTCCTCTTATTGATCTCTGACGTACTGCCCTAATGTGCAATGCCATAAATATTTATTATCCCATAAACCAAACGAAATAATAGTTCTCATTTTGTACCCCAAGTCAAGGTTCAGTCGCGGAATCGGACTCGCTATCACTCTGTCAGTGTAGCAACTTTTTTTTTTTGAGGTTCTTCAGTGTAGCAACTCCCAGGGAGAGGACGTCATCCAGTCTCTACCACACTCTTCACAATGCGGCAAGTGGGCCTCCTGTGGCCCAGTAAAGCGCCCCCGGAAATCAAGCCCATTTCTTAGCCCACTCTTCACTCCCGTTGTTGCCTGTATGCAGCCCTGCCCGTTTGTTCGCCTTCCCTCTCCGCTCTCCCACCTCCCACGTTCTGCACGGGCTCGATCAACGCGAGAGGAAGGGCGGCGCGCGGCGGAGCAGTCGATCGAGGAGGGGTCGCTGGCGACGCCGCACGCCCAGCAGAGCTAAGCCTTCGAGACGACAAGGTGCTTCAGGTACGTCTACATCCCTTTCGATTCTCGACAATTTGGATCCCTACTCTTCAGGGAGTAATGCCACCGTGCCGCTAGGCTGCTAGCACTAGGGTTTATGCTGCGCCGAACTGCGTTGGTTTCTGGGTACTTCTGCGTCGAATTTCTACTGTAACTGTAAGCATCGCTTATGGACTTATTCGCACACTTTGTATTTCTAAAAGACGATGTGCATTGTGAGGAATCGGTAAATAGCGCTGAGGAACCCCGAATCGTCCTGTTCTAAGCAGGAGAACATTAAATGCAAGTACTTATTAGTAGTGCACTTAATTATGCCTCGGAACCATATGCCTGCCTCGGAATCGTCCTGTTCTAAGCAGTAGTAGTACTACTCCATTTTTGAACTTATTAGGATCTTTTTCTGTGTCAATTGCTCCTATGTTCTAGATTCTCTGATATGTTTTTTTAACAAAAAGGGCAAATTCTCTGTCATTCAGTATTTCAGTTAAGGAGCAAAAGATGTCTAGATACTCTGATATGAACAAGACACATTCACACAATTGTTTCCGCGTCAAAAAAAAAAAAACAAAAAAAACAGGAACACTTAATATTTTATGAATGTAGTGTAATAATGCCCATTATCTTTGTTCATAATCTTGGGGAATCATTCTCTGTTGTCTTTGTTCGTGACCGCTGGAACAATATGCCAAAAGCTAAATTTCTGCATTGCCCTAGCTTCACCAAAAAGTTGTTTCAGTTTGTCTGGAGCTAAGGAGCCCAGGAGGGGTAGAAACAAATCTTACTGGTTTTACTAGCAAAGGGATAAGATATTCCAGGAAAAAACATGCTTCACGCCTTGTTGCTGAATCAATCATTTATGTGTGGCTTCACCGTTGTTAGTCAGGCTGACCTTCAGGCTACAGGAGTGTACTAAGAAGGGATGAAACAACTACCCTTTGTTGTGCTTGTGAGATTAAGGAAGCTAGTGTTTTGCAGGAGATGAACCCAAAAGGGGAAACTAAGTTGGAGTGAGTGAGAATGACAATGGGTGTCTTGGACTGCCCCATCTGCTATGAGCCCCTCGTGCCTTCGATTTACCAGGTAGGCAGGTATATGAATAGCAATATAGCATCGAGTTAATCTCTGAAGAAAACCAGATAGGCAAATCTTTATATCGTTTTCCTCCAACAGTATGTTTCATGAATCGATCTACCAAAAACAGATAACAAGTTACAGAAGGTATACATACTATCATGTTTTTCTTTTAATTATAAATTTCCATTTGTGTCTGTCAAAGATATTCTCTCACAAGGACTTGTTTATCGATTCCAATTCGACAGTGTGGTGTGGGCCACTTGGTCTGCAATTCATGCTGCATCAGGCTCAACAAATGTCCCCTGTGCCCAAGGACCGCCTTCGAGCGCTGCTTTGGCATGGAGTGCGTTGTTCAATCCATCGAGGTTCCTTGTCGCTTCGCCAAGAACGGATGCATCGAAAAGATCGTCTACTCCAACAAGAAATGGCACGGGAATTTGTGTCGGCACGGGCCATGCTTCTGCCCAGAGCCCGGCTGCAGCTTCACCGGGCCAGCGGCGGCACTGTACGACCATTTCACCGGCTGCCACAAGTGGCCGTCCACGGCGTTCGAGTACTACGTGCAGTTCGACCTCCGTCTCCAGCCGGGCCCACACGTGCTCCGTGCCCAGGACGGCACCGTCTTCCTCATGAACGTGGTGGCAGCGGAACCCCTCGGGCACGCCATCTCCCTCGTCTGTGTCCGGCCGGCCACGGGCTCCTCCCCGTTTGGGTGCTCTTTAGTGTTCTCGTGCTTCACAGGCCACCACCAGATCTCGACGCTGGACCCTGTGAGGTGCTCGACGCTGGCTGATGGTCTGCCAAAGGACGGCTTCTGCATCGTGCCCAAGGCATCTGGAGGCGTCCATGATGTCGTGCTCAAGACCACCATAGATGAAGCGCGGAGGTATGATATCAAGCTGGGGGACGAGGATGACTAAGACGAGAGCTACGACGAAGAAGATGATGAAGAAGAACATGATTACGAGGAACTAGAGGGAGAGAGAGAAAGGTGCAGAGGTAGCACACCATCAGTGGGTTTGGTGGAGGAGGAAGCCATGGCGGTGTCGGTGATGCAGAGTGCCGGCGAAGGGGAGGCAGTTGCGTCCGGTGGCGGTGTGGACGTCGGACGTGGCGCAGAAGCGGCGGTGAAGACGGTGGTGGCGCTTCCCGTCACTGTCAGTGCCCCATCTAGATCGGTTTAGGGCTTGTAGGCGGGGATTGTGGCAGCGGCAGTGAACCTCGTACCGAGTGCCCCAGCCTCCACCTTCTTTTATATGGTGCTGTGCGACGGGG